ATTCCTTTTTCCCTTATCTCTCATTACTTAGATATTCAAATTGCTCTGATTTTATTGTTATAGGCTAGTTAGCTGAAGAGTATCTGAGGTATAATCTGAGGTGGTATTCTATCTGTATTTACCATTATGCTCTAATTAATTAATCAATACCTGTATAATAATGCCAGAACAAAGTTGACTTAAAGGCAAGAAACTTTAAAGAGCCAAATGCAGTGGTTCACGCCTATAATCCTGGCAACTAAGGAAGCTGAGGCAAGAAGATCTCAAGTCTGAGGTCAGCCTCAGCAACTTAGTGAGACCCCGTCTTGAAAGAAAAATGAAAAGTGAGACGTATAGAATGGTAGATTGCCCCTGGGTTTGATCTCCAGTATATGCTCCTCCCCCACCCCATGCACAACAAGAAAAAAAAATATTGTTTCCTTTTAGTTATACATGACAGTAGAATCTATTCTGATATAATTATACAAATATGGAATATGTCTTATTCTAATTAGGACCCCATTCTTGTGTATATACACGGTGGTGGAATTCACTGTGGTGTATTCATATAGAAAAAAGAAATTTTACTAGTGACAAACAGGGAAATTTTATAACAGCAAAGGGAGTAATCCACGAGGAAAATCATAATTCTAAAACTGTATGCACCAAATAATATAGCCTTAAACACCTATAAAACAACAACAAAAAAAGCTCAAAGGAGAAATATAACATAACATATTAGAAACTTCAACAAACCTCTCTTAAAAGACAACAACAACAACAAAAAGCAGACAAAATATCACTGTGGGCAAAGAAAATCTAAGCAACACATTTAACAAATGAGAATAATTCAGTACAGACAGAATAGTTCATCTGACAATATCATAATACAAATTCTTTTCAAGTACTTGCACAATAAAAATAAAAAGCATGGGCTGGGGTTGTGGCTCAGTGGTAGAGTGCTTGCCTGGCACATGTGAGGCACTAGGTTCAATCCTCAGCACCACATAAAAATAAGTAAATAAAAATAAAGGTATTAAAAAATTTAGAAAAATAGAATCATAAGGATCAGAAACAAATAAATATGCTATGTACAGATAATATGACTGTGAATATAGAATAACTAAAGGACTACATATCAAAATCAGTCCCAGATGATTTATGGAGCTAAATGTGAGAGGTAAATTATAAAGCTTCTAGAGGAAAACAGAATGTCTTTGGAGTAGACAAAGTTTTCTTAATAGACACACAAAAGGCACTTCACTAACATGTCCCTATGTTTCTAAAATGTTGGTTAACTAAAATTAATATTTAAAACATTGATAAGCTTACTACTAAAACTTCACATAAAAACATAAGCACTAAATACTTATTTTAAATTTAAAAATCCCATACTAATAATACCTCCTCTCATTCTCTTTCCACACACACACATGTACTCATGAAAATGTTTCACGCCTTTGTTTGTAGTGTCAATGATTACTAATATCTGAACACTATTTTGTATTTTAAACATGTAAGTACAAATGCTATCACCTGAATTATGTGATTAACAAAGAATGAGAAAAAGGTTGTATCTTGTCAATGATCTTCTAATAAGGTGTTCTAAAAAACAATGAATTCATAATAATCTCTAAATAATGTAACTATTAATACTATGACAAAGAACACTGATCCTAATAGATAAGTAAAAATAGATATATAAATTGAGACCATCACTGTCTAAAATTTCAAAAATAAGATATGATACAAATAAAGAAGGATTGTGGATAAAGTTATAGGTACTGTGTTAATTTTTTATTGTTGCATAATAAATGATCACAAATGTAGGAGTTTGAAAATAGCATAAAATTATTATGTCACATTTTTCATGGGTAGAAGGCCTGATCCAAGGCAGTTGAGTCAGTTCCTCGGGATCTCATGGACCTAAAATTAAGGTGTCAACTAGAGCTATCTTTATATTGGAGGCTCTTGGATCCTCTTCCAAATTCCCTGATTGTTGCCTGAATTAATTTTCTTGCCGCTGCAGGACTAAGTTCCCTAGTTTCTTGGTGGTTGTCAGCTGGAGATCATTCACAGCTTCTAGAGGTGACGGCCTCCACAATCTAGCAATTGTTCAAGCCAGTAAGAGTTGCTTCCTGAAGTAGAATCAGGTGTAAACTTATATAACATAACCTCATAAAGGGGATAACCATCATTATTTTCATGATTCTGCCCAAACAGCTAGAGGAGTCTGCAGGCAGTGGGGATCTTGGGATCGTTTTAGATTACTGCTTACCACAGGTACATATTAATCATATATAAATTCCCAACATAAGAAAGATTTAATTAATTTAAAATCCACTCTGTTATGACATGACTATTAGAAATGTAAAAGAGGGCTGGGGATGTAGCTTAAGCGGTAGCGCGCTTGCCTGGCATGTGTGTGGCCGGGGTTCGATCCTCAGCACCACATACAAACAAAGATGTTGTGTCCGCCGAAAACTAAAAAATAAATATTAAAATTTAAAAAAAATAAGACACAAAATGAATAAAAATGTTTAAAAAAAGAAATGTAAAAGATATATTTAAGAAAAAAAGACATAACTATTGTAGTTCAGTGTCAAATATTACACAGATTTTAAAAAGTAAACATAAGATACAAATTCAACATTAACATACTAAGGTGTAATACACGACTTTTTAAAATGTGCTTAGAATACTTAATATGAGATCTACTCTCCTGACAAATTATTTTTAGGTAAAAAATACAATATTGTTAGCTGCAGGCACCACATTGTACAGCAGATCTCCAGGGTATATTCATCTTGTATAAATGAAACTTGACACCTGTGGAACAATATGCAATTGAAAAATAGAAAGAAACCCATTTAGATTACTAATATTCTAACTTTTTATACTAAAATCATTATAAGACAAATAACCTATGCAAGGATTTCAAGGGTAACTCTAGAACTCATTTACAAAAAGATATGCAAAAATAGCATACTTGTGAAACATTAAACTGTCATTGAAATTGTTTAGTAACTACAAGCATATATATTACACATATATGTATGTATACATACATATTTATTACATATATAATATATGTGCATATATATTTAAAGCTTAGCTTAAATTGTATTCAACCTTTCTAAAATAAGATGTAACATTTTCTGCCCAGGAACAGCTTCCTAATTTGTAAATTTCTATTCATGGCATCATCATCCTCCCAGTGGCTAATAATAGAAACCTCAAAGTCATCCTTCATGCCCTTTCCTTCCTTATCCCCATAACAAATGGAGTTACTTAGTTATATCTTTCCCCTCATTCATTAAATAAACATTAACAAAGAGCCTGTTGTCTTAAAGCATCATGTCACACTCTGGAACTGCCTTAACCTGTAAATTAAGAATCTTGCTTCTTGAGCCTTCTGGCCCAGTACAGTAGATTTACAATGTTTCCCTTTGTATCTATTCTCACCATGCCTGCTTTGTGTCAAAAACCTGGATACCTTGTCTTGCTTCTAACTTCCCTCATATCTAATTAATTCTGCATACTGCTACCAGATGAATTCTTCCTTCCTTCCTTCCTTCAATCATTCAGAAATGTATAAATGCTAAGAGTACAGCAGTGAACAAGACAACCAAAGCATCTGCTCTCAGGAAGCTTGTGTTCTAATGTAAAGAGGAAGATACATAAGTAAAAAAAAAATCATATAATATCTACAGTGTCAATTATTCTTTAAAAAATAAATCTCTTTATGTCACTTGGTCTCAACCTTCATTGACCCTTCAATGTTTAAAATACAAGTCCTGGCATTCAGGACCTTCCTCAATTTGCTTTTAC